AGTAGACTTCAGAAGGAACCAGAAAAGCAATTCTAAACAGAAAACGAGAAAAACCTCTACTCCTGTTCAAAAGGCCAAGGAGGAGGTGAGCCAGATGATAGGCGAACCTGTCTATTCTTGGCTGGAGTAGGAGAAGCTGGGAGATTGTCTTATTACCTAATGACAATCATTGTATGTAAGTAGTCTCCAGTATTACACATGCACTATTTTATACCACTTTAATCAGGATCATTGATTCACAATTACATTTCACTAGACATATTGGACAGATGAAAGCAAAACCCAAAATAAAAAAAAAGATTATTTATTAGATAAAACACTGTCAACCAGTCAGTCAGTTATATGGTGTGCATGATACATGCTTAGGCAATCATGTATCTTTCGAATCATGACTGACAAGGCAGTAGGTTGCCATTTTTTTCTGTGGTGGACCAGTTGCCATCCAAGGCTATAGAATCAGATCTGTCCTGCTATTTACCCATAGCTGGTGTGAGAAGAAGAGGATTCATACCTTTCCCAAAGGTATTAGCGCATAAGTGAATGTAATGAATCTGACTGGACTCGAACTCGGCTCTCCGATTTCTCAATCCGAGCCGCTATCCATTACTCCACATTGCTAATTTTGATTGGTATTTACTTTCATGTTAATTTTTGAGTTGCTTTTTATTGCAACTTTACTCAGGCTGTCTATCTAACAAATTGAGCTTCTTTGAGCCATTAGGTTGACATAGATCAGTCAAAGAAGCTGGTGAATTCAAATGATTTTCTAAGCACAGCTTAGATGTGACACAAGGGAAAAAGCATGGAGCATCCAGTGGGGATTGAACCCACTACTCAGTTGTAACAGTTCTAGTGAGACAAGCTTGCTAACCATTATTCTATGTAGAGGTGCCCAATGCTGGTGAATTCAATCAAGTTTCGCCAAGGCAAAGGAAACAGGAATTCAAGTCTTACTAACAGATTATTTATTATTGCCCACCTATGCTACCACTAGAGTCTACCCATTGCTGTAGATCAACAGCCTGTTTAAAATATGTTATTGTAAAACTGAGTAGAACACAGAACAAAATCTCTCTTATATAAAATTATCATTTATTCATTGCTGGAATTGATACTAGTGAGTGGGTGTGTGGCTTTGAGATTTTCTCCAATCATGGATCTTCTCCTTTTAAAGACGTGAGAGATCCTTCGTCTTTTCCTTCTCTGGTAGAGTGTTTTTATATCTTCCTGTCATTTGGTTATTAGACATGGGCACATTTTAAGTGCAGCTGTCAACCACCTGTTTATATGTCAGTCACTGTGTAAGTTGCAAGTCTGTGCCTGGTTGTTAGGTCATTTTCCAGGTGCACCTGCTGATGCACCTGGCTTCTCTGATGCTCTTCTGTGGCCCTTAGTACAATGTTTATTTTAGTACATATTGGAATCATCACAGATCAACTTCTCTTAGAACAAAGGTATCTTATTGACAAATTCAGTTCAGGGCATCTATAAGAAAAATATATATGTTAGGTGAGTTATCACCCTTGGTCAACTGCACTCTAGAGATCACGTATAGCATCAAACTAACCAATCACTAACCAGAATATGTTGGCACCAATTATGAAAGAATGTTATTCACTTCTACTCTGCTTCTTTTCTGTCGAGATCTGCAAGGAACAGGGCGTTGAGCTCATCTCTGCTTCAACACCAGCAGTTGTGACATGAGAGCTGTACTAATGATATTAGTATGTAAACCATTCTACAACACCAAGGACTTCAATTAAGTGGACTTATATTGTTTCATTATAATATATAGCTGCAAACAGAACAATTTGTTTGCAACAAGAACTATTATTTCAAATAGTATTTGCATAAATGAATTTCAATAATATTCCTTTAAACTTTCAATTTATGTTCCGTGTTCTTCCTGTATTGACTAATATTTGCAATCTAAAATCACCATGGTATTTCCTGGTGTGAATCACTCTACTAAATGGTATCTAAAACATTAAGATTAAACACTAGTCTTAATAATAATAATAATATTTGTACTACTTATATTTGGAGTATTATCCTCATCTTTGTTGTTATTATCACAACATTTCAGCTGTTATGCCTTCTTCAGGTGTATATATAGATATGGGTAAATAACAGGAAATTCTGAACTGAATCATTTATTTAATCTCCAGGTATAGACCGTTCTCATTTCACTTCTCCTGTCTAGGTATATCGTCTAGTTCTTATTTTTATTTAGTACTACTCAGTTATTGCTTGCCCATGGGATGCAAGTACACACTGCCTGGTCCAGGGATTGAACTCATTATCACTGTCATCAAATTCACAAAACAACACTTTAATCCACTAGGCCCATAGGTTCTGTAGGTTGAAGAAAAGATTCAGTTCAGAATTCCTTGTAGTTTACTTAGATTGATATAAACCTGAGGAAGTTTGGAGAGCACACTGTCTGAAATGTTGTGATAACAAAGATGAGGATATTAATCTACTTGTAAATAATATAAATAATGATAACTACTCATCCCAAAAATTCAGACAGAAATAATAATAATAATAATAATGGTTAATTTAATTTTGTTTAATGTTTTATAAAAAATGCAAGGTAAATATGATGATAATTATAATAAATTGTAAAATGGAAGCACAGCTTTTTTGTTTTATCATAAACACAAGATCAATGATTTGGCTGTTGTAGATTTTTAAAAAAATGATCTGACGACTTGATCAAGTTTTTACTATTAGGGATAAAAAGCCTAATCTACCTGGGACTTGATAAAAGACATAAATAAAATCAAATAACTCATTCCTCTGTCTTCACTCCATTTTTTTTTTTTTGTTCTCTGATCCCAAACTATTGTTTTCAGGATTATATACAAAATGACAAAAAGATTTAAATACCAATTAGCAAGCTAACCTCAGGAACTGATCTGATTAACAAGCAGATTTTATGTATGTATATATGTATGTATAGCTGGCCACTCGTATTCGAGGATACCTGTCTACTAGGGTGTCTAGCCAATCTCTATTGCAGACGCTTACTCAGGCACATTTGTGCTTATTCAACACCCATAGAGCCCACCTGCGGTTTATACTGCAAGTATGCTGAGCAGACCTTAGTTACAGTTTCTGGGAAAGAGTGTGTTATCTAGCGTGATTAACAAATTGAACAAGGCCAGCATGCTCAAGCCCTCGGCCACGATGACTTGTGACTTTGTGCTAGCACAGCTATCAATGGCACCTACCCAATTTTACTCACAAAACTTGGGTCAACCTATGGTATGGTTTTCAGGTACTTTCCAAAGATGCTGCATGCTGGGATCAACCCCTCCACTCTGATAATATCAGGAAGTCTCCTTCCTGACAAACAGACAATGGCGAGATTCAAACCCGGGTCTCATTGTCAGAATTCAAACATTCTAACCATTCCGTCATGACAAGCAGATTATAAAAAGCATTTTCATCTCATACTCACTATAAAATATTACACATTTACATGATATTACCCCATCTAAAGTTTGACCAATTTGTTCATAATTCAAGTTACCAAGTTCTTTTCCCCTTAAAGTCTTACCAGACATCTTAAAAATCGGTCTCATAGAAAATAACTTTGTTTTCAATGCATTCAAAGTTTTCACACCTTAAATTCCCTGAACTCTTGGATGACATTCATATAACAATGCCCAATGTAAAAAAAAATCTCTAAGTCCCAGGAAAGTAAAGCAAATAGAAGAGTGAATGATTTAGAAAATTTCACAAAAAGATGATTTTATACAAGATCAATCCTTTACTCAAAAGAAAAGAAAATCAAAAAAATAACTACATGAAAACAATTGTAAAATGAGGGCATGAAAAACAATTCTTTCTTTCATCAGGTCTATAAATAACCACACAGTAGAATAGATTATAATGAATAACAAAAAAATAAGAAATAGAAAAAATGTGTTCATAGATACAAATATTTTTCCGATTAAGTTTTGGCAATGTATCTTACTTTACACCTTTGTGTCTGCAAAAAAAAAAAAAGTATCAAAAAGCAGTTTATTCCTTTGACAACAGTATTAGACTATTTTTTTTATTCCCCCTGGCAATGTTTGTTTTAAAAATTCACGATTTGAATTTTAATAAAACCCAGACATATGAAAGTGGATTTATACATTTTCTTTATTCTTGAAAAATAATATTTATTAAATTGGTTAAAAGGAGTGAGACCGCACTGAAAAAAGAATGTGTAAAATATTATGCATATTATTGTTTTATGCATATTTTATACACACTTCAAGATACCTTCCCTTGTGGAGAAAGATACTTTATTTAGTGTAGGTAGTTTGTTTTGTATAACAATAGCTTCTAGGATTTTGAGTTTTTCCTTGCATTGGGTTCAAAATTGTATTTTAGCATTATCCACTAAGATTCATTGATAGTTCTATTTTCGTTGTTTGTGCTGATCACTATATGCACAGATTCTTACAGTGGTCACATATGGCCCACTCTCTCTCATGGGTTCACTCGTTAACACTTAATGCAATTATCTTCTTTCCTTTAGCTTTTTTTTTTTTTTTTTTTAAAAAAAAAACAAAAAAAAACAAGCAAATTTTTTTTTTGTGTAGGCTGAGTAAAAATATTGATAGTAAATCAACAGCATACTTTCCACCAATACCATAAGTTAGTTTTGGATCCAGATAAAAGCTAGGGTGTTCAAATACTAGATTTTTTCAAAGCAAGCAGGCTCAGCTTAAAATATGAACAAAAAGCACTGTTCCTATTTCTATGTTTATCCCAACCTCACAATTTAGAAATAAGAAAGTAAATCTTTCTGACTATTTTGTGAAATTCTTCATAGTTTAATACAAGCAGTAGCAAACAAAGGATTTTAAAAAAAAATCATACATTGACATTCCATACTGATCAACAGTGACATTTTTTGATTTTTGTAGTCATTTCAAGATCAGAGAAAGAAAATAAATACAAATTCATTAAATGAATATTTGTTTAAATAAAGCACTTACCTTAATAGCAACACTAGAATCCACTTCTCTTGTTTCTTTTAATCCAAGAGGAATCATTGGTACACAATCTATACAACTATTGAAGAAAAAACAAACAGGTGTGTTACATTTACATAAAAAGGTGATCAAGTGTTAGCTAGAACATCATGGTAACTATCAAATTCATTGTAGGTCAAATCAAAGAATTAAAAAAAAAATAAATAAACAACTGAAAATTTAAAAAGAAGAATAAATAATTGATTTAAAAAAAATAACAACAAAGAACTAAATTTAAAAAACAGAAGAATCTTTGTTGTTATCACTATGTTTCAGGGCACCTCAAACTTCTTCAGGTGTCTTTTCCTTCAGGGAATTTTAAAACAAACCCTTAAAAAAAAATTCTAACTTATTGAAGAATTTCTTAAAAAATAAAAAATTGTAAACTAATTTACAAATGGGACAAATCATTTCCTGACACAGACTAGCCATTCTTGCTTAGTGACATTTGAAACATCTTTTGAAGTAGGTCATCATTTTTCATCCCTTTTATCTAGTGTTAATAAAATAACTTTTCAAAGTCTGTTCATCATAATTCTTTGCATTCCTAGAATATACAAGTCAAATACTATCTCTTAAAGTTCAAGGGACCATACAAGTACAATGCTACTTTGACCCTTGACATCTAACCCTTCAACCACCACCATCCAATGAATGTCAACTTAAAACCCTACATCTTCATGATTTGGTTTGACCTTTTAGTCTTTTATGTCTATTTTTCCTGGTCACCTCGACTTACATCTTCTCTATAATGATCTACATTTTCATTGTCTCTCCATTCTTACTGAAATACTGGACACAGCACACATACACGTGTGTGTGTGTGTGTGTGTATGTATGTATGTATGTATGTGTGTGTGCACGTGTTTAACATTTTTATATATACCCACCTAAACTCATAGCAGTTTCATCACACAGGCCATATTGATTATTATTATTATGATGATGGGATTGTTATCAAAATGTGAAGAGAGTTTAAACCTCAATAAAAATTAAATCAAAATTAAGAAGGGAACTTTTACATGAAATTTAAAATGCCCTAAAGTTTGGAAACCTGCCAAGTCACAGTGAATAATGTTGTATTGAGAATGAACAAAATTGAATTATATATATATATATATATATATATATATATATATATACACATACACAACTATCTGCTTGAGTGATACTAGTTCAATAAGGAAGCACTTAAACTCTCATATCCAAATCTGCACTCACAGAGAAAAATTCTTTTAGATAATACTGTCCTTTTAAAAACATTTAATTGTAAAAGACATTTAAAGATAATTGAAGTACTTTTTATAAAGTGTATAAACCTACATGAGTTGCTTTGAAACTACTTCCAACATATTAAGAGTATTCTCAAGGCAAAACTTAGAATACAAACAAAATATTCTAACAATAGACCCCTTGAAATGGCTAATGAATTAGCCACAAATGCTTGGGAGATTAATCACTACAAATAGTTTCTACACTCTTCCTATAAGGACAGTAGCAAAACTATAAAAACTCATAAAAGTTACCTTGTCCATCATATTCATTGAAGCATGTATAAAAGAAAGACTGCTACCCAAATATATATTTAAATAAGCTCAAATAGCAATTACTAAATAGTTGTCTGAATCTACAAAAGTGTGTATATATATATATATATATATAAAATATATACACACACACACACACACACACACACACACACACACACAGCAGAAAATTATGGTGGCAGATGCTTCTTATAAGCTCAAACTTGAAAGACAATTATTGCATTTTTGTTTAGATTTTCCATTTACAAAGCAACTGAAATAAAAACTGATTTGCTTTGTGTGTTTTTCTGGTTATAAAAAAAATTGTAAGCTCTGAAAATAATCAAAGTGGCCAATATTTGGAATGTGGCATCATTGAATAGAACACAAATGCCAATCCCACATTTTATAATTTTCATATCTGCATTTTATGAAAATTATAAAACGTGTGACTGGCATTTGTTAGGGAGTTGGGTAACCAACCTCCTACCACACTCTACTGACATCCTCCTCTTTTACCATTACTAAACCTAGCATATATGAGTAGGTGCTGAAAAGTTCTCAGCTTGAACTACTCCCCAAAATCTAAGCAAATGACCAAACATAAGCATTTCTTCTTTTTTTTCCAGAAGAAAAAATTGGGCTGTGACATTATAATTAACATAGACTCTCTTATCTGAGAAGAGGGCATCTTCCTCAGATGAATGATTAAAAAATGGCTTCCAGCAAATCAACAATGTAGGTCTTACAGACAATCATCCTTCTTTGAACCCCATGGACTGGCATGACAGAATCACAAAGGACTGTACCAAACAAGAGAAATCACATCACCTTAAGATTTTCAACAGAAGCAACAGCTAAAATTAATAGCACATGTAACTTGAAAAGAAAATAACAACATAATCAAAATGTTGACACTCTACACTATCTTAAAACAAAAGGTTAGAAAGGACCCCCCCCACCATCATCAATACTAGAAACAGTGTAATTGAGAAACTTATATTCCTGAAAATTGATAAGAGAAATATTTTATAAATCCAAGGTTGAAAGTAACGATAACTGTTCAGTCAATGAATGCCAAATGTTTTCTTATAAGGAAACATAATATTACTATTACCATAATGGGTTTTTGCCTCTATTTTAAACACTTATGATAATTGTTTATTGGAGATTTATTTAGGTTTTTATGGGGCTGCGATGCTGGCCCAGTATTCAAACCTCCTCATTTGTCAAACAGCTATGGATTAATTAGTAAGACTTGTATCACTACACAATTATTATCTCAAAAAAAAAAAAAAAAAAAAAAAAAAAAATTATAATCAAAAAATATTTTCTGGCTTTAAATAATCTACAATGAGTTAAGCCATTGAAAATGAATCAATCAATGAAATACTGGATAACTACTCTGTTATGTCTTTTATTTACATTCTCTGGAACATGAATGTTCATTTCTCTAATGTGGCAACAAGTGAAGGATCAGTTTATATAGCGATTGTAATATAAATTTGATCCCCCGCTTTGTATCTACATTATAATTTCCTTTTTGTTTATCAAATTCTGATTAGGCAGAAATCCACCTGTTCTTTCAGCTATGGTTTAATTAATAAGACTTGTATCACTAAGCAATTATTATCTGAGAAAAAAAAGAAAAGGAAAATTCTTACAATCTAAAAATGTTTTCTGGCTTTAAATAAACTTCAAAGGATTGAGAAGCTGTAGAAAATGAATCAATCATAGTTCCAAGTTGTAGTTTTTTTTCCTGTTCATATAATCTTCACTTAACTGAACTTCCTTAAAGAGCTAAATAGCTTCAACTAACCTGTTATTTACATATAGCTGGATCCATGCCTTTACTATGGACATCAGTATAAAGTTAACAGAGGTCATCTTGGTTGAAAGAATCTGTTTTTTTATGTAGGTAACCACTATATGCATCAACTTCAAGTGTACAAAAAAAGTAGGCCTTTGTAATGTGTCCTACTAATTTTACATGAATTATACATTCCTAAACATCTTAAAAAGACAGTACAAGATTTCTAAGTCAGCCATTGGTACCCATAATAACTCAACACCAAGAATGAGTAACAAATTCAACAATTCAGTAAAAGTCTGACTGCTCAGAGTGCCATTAACAAGTCTTTGATACTCAGACTCGTTAGTGACACTAAAATATCTGGAAAGAGTCCAAAGTATACAACTGGGAAACAAGGAATTAATTTGTAGAACAACAACACAGGGAAACACAACAGTTGATGTGGACATAACATTCAGTTAACTGATATAACAGTTAGGTATCTAGTGTTGAAAATAACATGCAAGTCATGTGACTTAAACCTGTTTGTTGACATAACCATTAATGAAGAAACAATATCAGACACACTGTGGTGATTGCACACTGAAGAAATTAATTTTGGGGAGAATAAAAAGGGAGAAGCTAAGTGCTTTTTAATGCATCTAAAATAGTAATATTAATAACAATTAACAAATATTAATAACAAATGTATCAATAAAGGAAGACTGATTGGTTTACCACAAAATAGTGCATTCACATCATGATTATTGGTTAAATAATCTATGTGCAAATATCTAGATACATGAATAAGTTCATATTTTTATAACGAAAAAGTATATTTTTCACTATTTCCCACTTCTCCCTACATAATTCATTAATGATAATATTAGCTAAGGAAACATTTGGCATTTTTTGACTGAGAAGCTTTTTGTTTGAAATTTATAAAATCTTTCTATTAAAATAATGTTTCAGGAAAGTAGGTTTCTCAAGTTCAGTAATTGCTCTTTTCATTATTGATGGGGGCTTCCTTCCTAACCTTTTGTTTAAGGTAGTGTGGAACATCAACATCTTGATCATGTCATTATTTTCTCTTCAAGTTACATTTGATATCCATTTTTGTTATTGTTGTTGAAAGTCCTCAAGTGATGTGGTTCCTGCTATTTGGTACTGTTCTTTTTGATTCAGTTCACAAGGTTCAAAGAATGATGGTCCTTGCTAAGACCTACAGGGTTCATTCACTTGCTGCTATTTTTAACCATTAATCTGAAAAGTGGTTGCATTTTAGATATTTCTGAATAAATCTAGCACCATGCATAACATTAATATGAAAGTCTTGATCTGATGAGGCTGTTTAAGAAAATAACTTGAGATTTTAGGTTAATATTTTGGTTTTGTAGCAACTTGTGATGTTGTGTGAAACTATCCCTAGGATATAGATTGAACATTCAAAACTTCAAATCAAATTTCACTTAATGACCAGACATCAGGTTATGAACTTATTGATCCACTCTTGTATGTAGATAGAAAAAAGTGACATGAACCGGATTGATTTTTATAATTTTAGAAAGACAATATTGGCATGAATCCAGTCTTGATAACTTAAAGCCAGTACTTGCAACTGGATTAAATGTTGTCAGCTGTAGAAGAAAGTCATGACTAAGTGTGAAAAAGGTTGCTTCCAATATTTCACTGATACAGGAAAAAGAAAAATCTCCATACATACACACACACACACACACACACACACACACATATATATATATAATTATAATATATCGCACATATAGTGGTGATGTTCATAAAACAGTGTTTGATGTAATGCAACAAAGCAATTACATATATTAATAAATATTCATCAGTGAGGAATAATATGTATATTTAATAATATCTATCTATCTGATATTGGGCACTTTATCCCATAAATATAGCACACCTTAATATATATATAGTTTATGCAAAACTAGGTAATCCGTATTCATTTCAACCTTTGGAAGTAAAGTCTGATGATCCCGAGCCCTTTAAAAGGGCTATGGTGAAATAATTTATTACATGGAACCTTAACAGTTAACTTTTATTATTTTACCAACAACTGCTTTCAAAATTTGAACACTGTAATTTTTATCTTTAACTCTCAGAATCAGTTCAGATGATGACATATACACAGTCACTGGAAAATTTTAGTTGCTCATCTAGGAATCACTGAATTTCTGGAGGCCAAATTTGTTCTTTTTTGTCTTTTTTTTGGTTTGAATAGCACAAAAAAATCATCACATTTTCTTTAGATTGATATTCTTGCTTTGTTTTTGAGTGGGGAAGTCTTCATAGTGAATGAAACAAGGGGCTACAGTGGTTGCATTTATTGGATATGTGACTAGGAATATATTTTTTCTTTTTTTAAAAATTGTGTTTGTTATTTTCTATATTCATTAAATAGATGATAGACACTGCAGGGAATCATTTTTTTCCAAACAAGGCAATAAAGCCACTAAGATACAAGGGATTAGAGTTAAAGAAATTTTATTGAGGAGTAAGGACAATAAAAGAAGATTCAAAAAGATAGATGTTGGCAATTGACAATGCATTTAAATTTTTCAAGTTTGTATTTGACAGAAACTAGAAAAGAGTTCAACAAGTGAGAAGTGTGAGAGAAGGAACTATTAGAATAGAACTTACAGTTACATCTAGCAATTTCAAGAGTAAAATGATATTATCTACTGATAATTGGAAACTTATTAATATTACAATATGAACTAAACAAGAACTGAAAACCTTAAGCAAAAAATAGCAGACAGAGAATCAAGATCATCTCTGCATATAAATATGGAAACACTTGTGTTATATTCATTGGTATATGAGCCACCATTTTGTTTGTTACCAATCTCTGAAAACAACAGATTCCATTTCTTTCCTTAGAGATTATATATCTGAAGACAACTGTTGAATGTATAAGGCAACTAGAAAAGTAATAAAAATTCAATAGTTTGAACAACACTTGGAAGACCAAAACTTAACAACCTAACAAATCTTTAATTAAAAAGAAGCAGAAAATTTTTACTTACTTGTCATGTTGATAAATATTAACTGAACTGTTCAGTTCAGACAATTCCTCTTTTAACAACTGGATATTGGAGTTGAAAAAGGACAACTCAACTGCCACTAATTGTTTCAACCTCTTATTTTGTGTGGCTCTAAAGAATGAGAAAAAATAACAACAATGAACAAACGGAAAAAATAAGATTTGAAATTTCATAAAAAAACCTTTTTTAACTCATCTATTCTTTTATTTTCACTAGAAAATCAAGTGTTTTTCAACTCCAATATGCTTATAAGATGAGAGGCATGCTCTTTTTGCTGTTTTTGAAAGATAATGTTAACCAAGTCTTAATTTAGCAAAACTTTAAATGACAAGATGGATTAATGAATTAACATAATCATTAAATCAGTTAAACTTGTTTTCTAGATCCATGAAGAAAAATTATCCAATTGTGTTGCAACTTTCAGAGAATACAATTAACACAATACTGACAGCACAAAAGCTAAAAATTGATATCTACACAAACCAATTTATCCATCTATTTTCACACACACACACACACACACACACACACACAATATTGCCTTCTCAAAATATAAATAATGCCAGTCTTATATATATATATATATGTGTGTGTGTGTGCTTGGTTTGTTTGTCAGATGTATTATAGTATCTGTAACAAAAGTGGAGATAAGGAAAAGTGGCACGACTTATAAACATTGGGTTTGGCTTCTTCAGGTTGAAATGAAAAATTAAACTGTGTGTAAGGAAAATGCATTGAGATTTTTGAGGATAACCTTGATTTTTATTGGATCAGCCCACTCCAAGTAAATTGCTTTTGATATAATTCGTGATATTATGTATGGTCCTGGTCTTAAGGTTTATTGTTGAGGGTTGTAAAAATAGCATACTCTCAATGCATCTTAGTCAATGCTTCTCTTTCCTGGTCAAACTGGCATTTATTCAGTCAACACTGTGGTCAGATGTTGAACTACCAGTGTGTTTAAAGGCTTGTTATGCAGGATATCTCTGCAATGCTCAGATAGTCATTTTTTTTAAAGTTTCTGGATATTTTGCCAATATACATCATTGGACATTTTTTATAATCTATTCTGTATATTCCTGCCTCTGTCCTGTTGTTGTTGCTACTGCTTTGTTTAGTGCTAACTGTATCTCTTACTGTTTTAGAAATGGTGCTGATGAATTTTAGGTCATATTTGGACAGGTTATATTTATGGGGGCTGTTATAGAATTGATAGGTAGGATTATGTGCCTACTTTTGTTATGATTGTTGGGATTATTATTTGCAGATTTTTGTATTTTTCTCCTGTGGATTTTGTAGGCTTTGCATTTGTGCATTATTTCCCTGCACAATGGCAATTAAGGTTTATAATATGTCATTAAAAAATAAAAGGGATGTTCACACCAGTTTTTGATATTCAATATGACTATTTTGGGATTAAAGTTTACCTCAGACCAAAAGTATTGCTACCATACTTGGGCTGGAGCTATCCAACCTCTCTTTCCAGCCTTGACAGAGGTCAAAAGCATTTACATGATCCTGTAGGTGATAAATTATTTTCCACCCCTACAATCCATTTCTCACAGATTCAATGTCATAAATCTATCAGTACTATGGAAAATGTTCTGACAAGCTACATTCCATCATTTCAGACCCTTGTGTCTAAGATCTACCATGTCATATATACAGGGGGTAGCCATCCACATTTTCTTTGTATTCCATTGGTAAAAAGAAAGTTTCATTTGGAAAGCTTCCATAGAGTTGCTGCTTTGTGGAATAAACTCAAGAGTATTCTTCCTCAACCCCTACTACAATATTAATCTCTTCAAGTCTATGAGTAACTGTTAATTATCCTATATATCCTCATAACCTTCAACAGTGGTTATCAACCTTTTTTTACCTAAATCAAAATGTCATTCCCCCTTTCCAACATTGTCTAAACTCAAAAGGTGCATTTCAAATAATATGTATATATTATTGAAAATCTTCATTCTTTTCCATATTGGTACATAATACATTGATGTTCGATTATTTTTATAGAGACATTTTACAAATTTAAGAGCAATAGAAAATGTTGATGGATTTTTTAAACTTAAATGCATATACAGTAATTTGTTTTAATACATAAATAATTATTAAATAAACTGAAGCATACTTCAATAAACAAAGTGTTTAACAGAATGCCAGGGTATTGCAATTCAATAAATAAAATTCTGTAAATAAAAAAAACAAGAAAAAGTAAAAGATTGAAAAATTACCCTCTGCTTGAGGATCCCTGACCTACAATTCTTACATTCATAAAAAAAAAAAAACATTCAGGATCCCTCTACCTTGAGTGGCTCTTGAGTTTTCTATTAGATGAACAATAGCATTAAAAAAACCCAAAAAAAACAACAAACTTGCACCCCCTTTATTAAATGCACAAAATGAAAAAGATAAACTGAAGATATGATTACAAAACAAGTGGCCAACATGAATTTGATTGCTTTGAAATTGATCAAAAACCTTTTTTATAGGATTTGTATGTTCAAATCTAGACAGACAATTTAGAATTCTATTCTGATATTTTGCCAATGGATTGGCTTCATCAGAAAAAGAATTTTGGTTTAACAAAACCTCCATTAGTGAGACAAAATGTGATTTATTTTAAGCATATAAACACTTGATTTTAATTATGTTTTGGAAATGAGATTTTAACTAATTTCTACTTAAAAAATTTATAAAAATGAAAACTATGTTGGAATCTATAAAATGCTCGAAAATTTAAATAAGTGAAGTCTATGGGTGCACCCACAGACTTCACCCACTCTTTTTTCACAATTTATCATTTTGAAAAGGTGTGAACAGAAGTATGGGGGTACATCTCATTGTGAAAAGGAAGGAGGCAAAGTGTGGGTGCATCTAATTTGGTAAAGGAGAGCACAAAGTCTGTGGGCACATCTCATTGGAAAAGGAGAGGGCGCAAAGTCTGTGGGCATATCTCATTGTGTAAATGAGGGGAGAAAATCAGTGGGTGCATCTCTTTGGGAAAAGGAGTGTGCAGTTTATGTTATGTTATAATGTCAAAGTACATGTTTTTTATTTTCATGAGTTGAATGGATCCACATAGAAAAACAAAATTTAAAATCGACCTTTATATGAATGTTTATCACAGAATAATGTTTCTATAACTGTTGCTAAAGTCATGTAAACTGCACAATACCTTACATGAAGATGTCTTATTAAAATGTCTCACTGCCTTATGACATATAACTTTAGCCACACTCCATTTGATGATTCACTAGTCCATATTAAGTAAATAAAACAGATTGTCTTGAAGCTGCTGCTTCCTCTTTTGGCATCAACTTCTCATCCCCTTATTAATAGGTTTCTAGGGCAAACCTGATAGCTACCCCAACTCTTCCTGGCACCAGCACATTTTGGGTGTGAAGCGATAAAGTCAGCAAGTGGAGGACTGTTTTTAATTTCTTTATTTAGCACAAAGGTAAACTTGGTTATGACATTGCTTGATGGGTGGCATTAGAAATTGAACTTCAAATTTCTCATATATAAAACATAAGTTTATTTGTACATTTGTGTGTCAACTCCATGCATAGACACACAAATACATGCATAATACCATATCTTTTTATTCTAATGTTTACATACCTACAAGTAACTTGTGTGTGTGTGTGTGTATATATATATATATATATATATATATATATATATATATATATATATATATAATTACTTAGTTTATCCATACTTAGAGTTGCCAATTCTGTTAAGTTATAATAAACAACAGAAATAAAATAAATAGTAATTTTGGTGTAGTTGTACAATAAGCACTATGATTGGAAATAATTTTTTTCTTTCATATCACAACAGATTATGCACTCTAGGTCATAAATTATTTTTTTAAATTAAATTTTAAAAAAATTAATGGTGGTGCTACATAAATTCATTGTAAATTGCTTTCAGTTACTATAATAGATTTGCATTATTAAGAGGGGGATTTTTGATAGAGTTTTATTTTTACACCTTACCAACCTTCAGAAATTAATTTTAAATTGTAAGAATTTTATTGGATAAAATAATAATTAACTGATTTAAGCCCTACTAATTAAACAATAGCTGATGAGAGAAGAGGTGGATTTATAACTTTACCAAGGGTATTTGCATGTGAGTGAATATAACAAAACAAAACAAACCCAACTGTAATTGGAACTTAGCTCTCCAATTTCCAATTCCAAGCTGTTATCTATTACACCACATCCAAGCTTATTCATAAACGGTCACCCATCTAAGTACTGATCAGGCTCAATGTTCCTTAAGAAGAAAAGATCATACTGTATGACTGATAAATATATAAAGTCACATTGGGTTTTATTTTATAGAACATATATTTTATCAGTTTAAATGTTATTTTTAGTGGATACTCATATTTGAGTAGACATTTCGTTTATTTATTAAAAAATATATTTATTTTTGTCTACTGGCAGACAAAGTGTAGAAACTGTCCATAATGATTATTGGACCAAGTGCTTTTGGCTAATTCATTAGCAATTTACAAGGGTTCTGCTGTTAGTATATTTTCTGTGTTTGTATTCAATGTTGTGTAGAAGTAGTAGTAATTCCATATTGGGGTCCTGTCAAAACATCCCTGACAATAATCACTATGGACAGCCTCTACACACTTAGTCCTCATAAAAGAAAAACTATAAAAATGCAAAGAGATATAGATCTCTCTCTCTCTATATATATATATATATATATATATATATATATATATATATATATATATATATATATAGAGAGAGAGAGATAGATATATATATATATATATATATATATAAATAGAGAGAGATGATAAAAACAAAATCCTCAGTGAACATACTAATTACAGTAAATGAATGTCAGTGAAATAGTAGTGTCTTCTTCTTTAGTAGAAGGGCCATGAAAATACAAATGAAAACATTTCCGATTTTTTAATTCTCATGTTATTCAAAATGATTGTTGTAGAGAGAATGGGAGGCTGAGCCAAAGATCAAAATTTCTTCTTCAGTCAAATACAAACAAAGAACCCTTTTTTCTGACCACCTCTGATATCCCCCCCCCAAAAAAAACACTATCTACTATAGCTAGCTGAT